CCCGCGGTGCCGGGCGCCGGGGCTGTCTCTTGGCAGGCGCTGCGGTTCAGTGTGGGAGAGGCCACAGCCACGGCCTCAGCCGTCTCTGGAGAATGCCGGAGCGGGGCTTTGCTGACTGCCCCTGCTTGCCCTGGCCGAGCGTGAGGGGCTGGCGAGGGAGGGGCGGATACAAGCGCTCCCTTCCCAAGCCAGGCAGGTAACGCCCGAGCGTCGGGGTCTGGGCTCCCCCCGTTGCCAGCTGAAGGACTGTGGTGGGGGATAGGGAAGTAAGCGACTAGTTGACTACCTGGTAAGCCTAGGCTTATCAGGTTGTTGAGTCATTACTCAACTAGTTGCTCCTCCCCCACCTTGCTGCCTCTGTATCTGAGGCACCACGGGGGGAGCCGGCTTAAAAGTCACCTCCCCCAGCACCGTCTCCGCGGGGGGGGGCAGAGGAGGCAGAGGAGCAACGGGGGAAAGGGCGGGAGCGGGGAAGACGCACTGGCGCCCTCTGGCCCCAGGGCCAAGCCGGCGCCAGCGGTGGGGGCCGCGCGCCACGTACCTGCCCACGGAGAAGACCGTGGTCTCGCCAGGGTGCATCTTGCCTTTGCCATCCTTGGACCTGCCTTGGCGATGCAGGGGGGGTCTCTTCCTCTTGCTGCAGTGGATGCAGGGCTCTGGGGCCCCGTGTGGTGATGGGGCAGGCCCCCATCCTGGCTGGTGCGGTGCGGGCAGAGGCTGCGGGAGGACAGCAGAGTCAGGGCAGCGTTCACACGCCCAGAAATGAGGCCCATTTACCGGAGGGTCTGGCTTCTCGGGGCCGAGGCATCAGCCCCTCCCCCCATCTGCACATCCTCAGTCCTGGCAAGACACCTGCCCGCCAGGCCCTGAGGCTGAGTGGGCCTGGCCAGGGAGCTGGAGCAGACTCAGGCCCCCCAGCACGGGTCCCTGGGCTCTTGGCAATGGCTCTGAGAGAGCAGCTGGCTAGACCCTCAGGCCACACCCCCAAGGCAGGCCAGGCTCAGCCGAGGAGCCAGCCAGGTGGGTCAAAGACAGGAAGCCTGGGGCACAAAGGGGCTGCAGGGGCAACTCTGCACCCGTCCCGGCAGGGGAGAGCAGAGACGGGCAGGCCAGCAGGGCGAGAGCCGGGACCGAGGGGCGAGGGCTGGGTGCTTCATGGCGGAGCGGTGCCGGGAAGGAGGATGAAAGGCGAAGCTGGTGGAGGGCAGAGGTTGGTTTTGGTTTGCCAGTGGTCCCCAATGCGGTGCCCGTGGGCGCCATGGTGCCCACCGGGCCATTTCTGGGGGCCACCCCCCCCCCCGGGCACGTGGTGCATGTGCGGTGCCAGCCCCTGGGCGCGCAGCATATGGGTGGCTCCGTCCCCGGGTGCCCGGGAGCCCCAAAAGGTTGGGGACCACTGGTTTGGGGTTTGCTGGGGGCTCCAGGGGAGAGGCCCATGAGCCCTGGCCCTGCACGAAGGGTGAATGGAGCAGGTCCGGGAGCCTAGGCCGGACCCAGGTACAGACCGGGCCTGGGTTGTCTGCCAGGCGCAAAGCCCCGTGCGCTAGGGGATAAGGGCTGTAGAGTCCTGAGACGAGCTGACAGAAGGCGCACGGGGCCGAGAGGCGGGGCCGAAGACCTAAGGGAAGGACATGGGACGTCTGTGGTGCGGGACTCCCTGCTGCACCGGAGAGCGGGAGCAAGAGATGGGGCAGTTGGCTGCCAGCAGGGGGTGCTAGACCAGAAATTGCTGCTACGCTGCACCCCATCAACTCCTGCAGGAGCCTCACCTGAGCATAGGCACTGGCACCTCTGCTTCCCCGTCCCCCAGCATCTCCTTCAGGGCCTCCACGTTTGCTGGCAAGGAGAAGAAAGGAGAAGTGGGTGGGGGAGCCAGG